AAAAAAAAAAAAAATCAGGAGGGCAAAGGGCCATCTGTGACCAACACGAAGGTTTCTGTGCGAGCCACCGGTCCTGTCTCGGCTACGGCTCCTGCAGAGGGGGCAGGTGTGGGGTCAGGGACCCTCTGCTCCCCCCCGGCAGGCAGAGACCCCCCGAGCTCTGCCCGGCCCCTCTCCACACGAGGAGCAGCAACCCCAGCAGGGAGGAGGGGGGAAGGAACGCGGAGCTGGAGCGCACTGACCTTGGCATCCTCCTCCTCGTCCCTGGGCGCCTGGCCCTCTTCCCCCTCCGCAGCCGCCTCCTCTCCCGCCTGGTGTTTAAGCTCAGAGGCAGAGGCTGAGCCCCGTTCCCTGCGCCACGGCAGGGACTCACCGCCGGTTCCCCCCGTCCCTGGTACCTCGCCCCGCGGGCGGTGGGTCCCTGCCCGCGCCCTCCTCTGCAGCTCCGCTTCGATGACCTCGAAGAAGTCCCTGCGGGCGCGGTCAAACACCTCCTGGGGACTCTCCACCGGCCTCTCCTCCACCTCTGTCCCCTGCCCCTCGGACCTGGCGCGCTCCTTCAGCCGCATTTCGCGGTGCCGGGCCTCCAGGATCTTCTCCCGTTTCGTCTCCCGCTCGAACATCTAGGGCAGGGCGGGGGGTTTAGGGGCGCAGGGGACCCCACGGGTCGGCCTACAGGGCTCGCTGGCAGAGCCGCTGTGCGCGGGGCTGGCGACGTGCCGGCAGCACCGAGGGCTCTGCCGTGACCCAGCACGGTGGCCCGTGGCTTGAAGCGCACATACGGCGGTGGCCAGGGTCTTCTCGTTCCTCTGGAGGGTGCAGAGCCCCGAGGAGATTTCCAGCAGGGTGATGGTGCCCAGCTTCGAGCCGCAGCCGACGACGCAGCCGTTGTCCTGCAGGCGCAGGCTGGCGAGGGGCTCGTCGCAGACCTGGGGAGGGAGGACGGTGGCCCTGAGCCCTGATGTGACGCCGCATGGGGCGGGACGAGCTGGCAGAGGGCAAACCCACGTGGTTGTCAGTGACGGGAACAAAATTTTGGGTGCGTGGGGCTCTAGGCACTGCCAGGCACCGGCAGAGATGGCCCCAGCTCTTCCCCCCCCTCCTCAGGACCCAGAGGAACCTTCAGGCTGAGGGAAGGGTCCTTCTGCTTGAAGAGGAAGTCCCAGACGTCCAGGGTCCCGTCCGAGGTGGTGGTGAAGAAGACAGCCGGCCTCACAGTGCTCCAGCACCCGTCCGTCAGGTAGGAGAGGTGGTACCTGCCACAGACCCGAGGCAGCGGGGATGGGCTCCATCCCCCCGGCCCCACGGCCGCAGCCCAGAGCCCAGGCCGGGCCACTCCCCGTTCCGGTGCCCTCGGCCACCGCTCTGCCGTGGTGACCATCCCACCACCTCCTGCCTGAGCCGAGCAGACCAGAGCCTGCTCATCACCCACCCTCCCACCCAAAAAAAACAAAAGAATTTTTGCAGGGCAAACACACGCCGAC